ATGGACTTGGCAAGACTCCTGCAATGGGATGGAACACTTGGAACAAATACAACTGCCAGATTAGTGAGGATATCATAAAGTCAAATGCAGACGAAATTGTCAATCTAGGTCTTGACAAACTTGGATATGTTTATGTAAACATTGATGACTGCTGGTAAATCAAAGATAGAGACGCCCAGAATCACGTTTAATACGACAAGACTAAATTCCCTAATGGAATGAAGGCAATTGGAGACTACCTGCATTCTAAAAATCTTAAGTTTGGAATCTACTCCTCAGCTGGCACAATGACCTGCTAATAAAGAGCTGGATCTCTAGATTTTGAGACAATCGATGCAGCTGATTATTATGCATGGGGCGTTGACTACCTCAAGTATGATAACTGCTACAATTAAGGCAGAAAAGCTGTTGAAAGATACACCAAAATGAGAGATGCTTTGTTGGCCTAACCTAAACAAATTTATTACTCAATCTGCAACTGGGGTGAGGAGGATACCTGGAAATGGGCTAAGGATATCGGCAATTCCTGGAGGACTACCGGTGATATCAGCAATTCTTGGAGTTCCATGAGAGTCAATTACCTTTAAAGTTCTCAACATCCAGAAATTGCTGGTCCAGGGGGCTGGAATGATCCAGATATGCTTGAGATTGGAAATGGCGGTATGAGTCTGGTCGAAGAAAAAAGTCATTTCGCATTGTGGGCTTTTGTAAAATCTCCTTTGATTTTAGGGTGCGATCTTACAAAGTTATCCACAGATTAAATTGCTATCATCTCAAATCAAAACATCATTAAGCTGAATCAAGATTCACTAGGTCAGCAAGCTAAGTGCGTACAAGGATGCAATGGAAACATCGAAGTTTATCAAGCATATCACAATGACCTTGGTGGATACTACGGTCTTTTAGTTGTCAACTGGTCTGATTGGTTCTCTCAATCAATTGAGATTGATTTCTTAGTTGCTGGAGTTACCAATAAAGCTAATGATACTTGCAAATTGGTTGATCTCTGGACTGGCCAAGTTATTGGAACATTCACATCTAAGTATTACGCCTCTGGTATTGCAATTCATGATCACTTAGCTCTCAAAGTTACTTGCTCAACCACCGCTTCCAAAGTTTAAAACAGATATCAAGTTAAATATACATGATTCAAACTAATTTCAATTCTCAACATTATTAATCACCTCAATTTGCCTTTAATTCCCAATCAGGGGTTTTGGGGTTTTGGGGTTTTGGGGTTTTGGGG